CTGCCCGGGCCGGGCCGGAGGCCTGGGCCTGCAGTCCCACCGGGCATGGGAGCGTCCCGGGACCCCCCAGGGGCCTGGGCTTACTGCTCATGGCCTGGGAGCGTGTCCAGGTCCCCTTCGGAGCCCCTGGTGTCTCTGTCCCCCCATTTTGGGCTTGGGCCCCTCCTTTTCGTGCTTGACAGCTTCTGAGGGCTCTCCTGCAGGTCCTCAGCTGCAGACAGTGATCTCAGCCCTTGCAGTTTGGTATTCCCCCTTTATCTAAGGGTTTTGGTGACTTACAACCAGCCCTAGGTGGCTGCTTTGGATTGGCCACTCGAGTTCAGGGCTGTGCGGAGGGTTTGGGTGGTGCCAGTGCAAAACTTGTGCTGTGCTGTGTCAGGGAGATGTGTGGGCTGAATCAATGGGAAGGGTGTTAGTTTTGCATTGTGCTGTGATTTGGTTTGCTCTGAGGTTTGTGGTGTTGGAGTGATCCATAAAACCCTCACTCGTTACAGGATGTGTCTCTCACTTTGGGTCACTTGCCCTGATTTCTGTTAGGAGGTGACATATGTCCTGTGGCTTCAACATCAGACCACACATGGCTTGCAGCAGTGCTTACTTGTAAAACCCTCTGTGTAATGTTTAGTGACTTAAAAGCTTAGTGTTCTGAACTGAGGAGTATTTTTTCATCCTACTTGCAGGAAGAAGAAACTCTGTCCTTTATCAAAGAGAGCCTTGAGAAGAGTGACCAACTCACCAAGAACATGGTAAGGAGCTCCTCATGTTTAATTTTCCCTAGGAGAATCTGTTTTCAAGGCTGTCAGTGGTGCTCACCTGAAGGATGTGGAGTAACGACCCACTTGTTCTGCCTCAGTGGCAAAGGGAAAACCTGAGAAATGCTTCAATCCTGAGCTTCTCTCCTGGTCTGATGAGGGCTCAGATGAGCTGTTGTCCTCATCTCTACTACAGTCAGCCCTCTCTCTTGGGAACAGGTATTAATAGACCTCAGTTTGTGCAACAGCGTTATGTTGTTGCTTCATAAATTCAGGGTTTGTTTGGAGTTTTATTTGGGAGTGTTTTGTGTGCAGGTAAAAAGTAACTGTTGTGCTGTAATTGCTTGTAAAATTTCAGGCAGTATACTATGTCCAGTTTTGGGCTCAGAGCTTCCAAAATAGACATAGAGGCACCACTAGAGAAGTGTGGAAAACATAACATAGGAGTGAATCTTGTAGGAATTCCTTTTTGACCTAGAAAAGATGACACTGAGATACCCTTTTATGAGCTTACTATGGGTTTTCACTTTGCAGAAGCAATTCCACAGTCCCTTTTAAAAACCAAATGATGGAAAAGAAGGTTCTCACTATACTGGTCCTGTGCCTTTGTGTTGTGCAGCTCATGTTTGGGTCTCAGTGAGCAGAGTGGTTGCTGGTTTGTGCTTTTGTTGCCCTTTTCACCTCCAGGCAGTCCCTTTGGATTTGTTTTCCTCTGTCCACTAGAATTTTGCTTGTCCTTAAGAGTGTCTAGTGATCGTTTTCATTCTTTACAAACATTTCATTCAGGATTGGTCCATCCTATGGCAGGTGATCTGTTTTGTGGTTGTTAGTAGAAATCAGGACATAGAGGGATGTAAACAGCTGCTAAAGAGCTATCATAGCAAATTGGCAGCAAAGCCCAACAAGAGAAGCTGTGCCCTGAAGGTCCCTGATTGCCCTGCTTACCTCCTGCCCTACTGCATGGATCCACAATGGGGATGTGCTCAGCTGTTTCTCTCTTGGTGTGCAGGTTTCCATCCTCTCCTCCTTTGAAAGCCGTTTGATGAAGCTGGAGAACTCCATCATCCCAGTCCATAAACAGACTGAGAACCTGCAGCGCTTGCAGGAGAATGTGGAGAAGACTCTGTCCTGCTTGGATCATGTCATCAGTTACTACCACGTGGCCAAGGACACAGAGAAGATCATAAAGGAAGGGTGAGTTGAGCAGTTAGATCTTGCTGGGGAGCTTCATCCCATTGAATGACTTTTGGGGTAGAGGTAGTGGGGCTGGCTC